CCATTTTGGCTTCCTGGGGGGTGACAGCGCCAATTCCCGACCACCCCGTTTTTGATAGATCCCCCTCCAATATTGCCCCAAGAAGCACCCAGCTAGGAGGCCCCAGGATGGCCTCAGGATGGCCCCAGGCGGCCCCCAGGAGGCACCCAAGAGACCCCCAAGAGGCCCCAACCTACACCAAAGAGGCCCCCGGAGATACGCAAGATGCACCCAGGACCGCCAAGAGGCCCCACAAGACGGCCCAAGAGGCACCCAAATTCGCCATTGTCCTCCTCCTCCTCCTCCTCCTCCTCCTCCTCTTGTTCGTCCTCCTCCCCCCCCCCCCCCCCCCCCCCCCCTCCTCCTCACCCATCATCCGTCTCCTCCTTCTCGTCCTCCACGTCCCCGTCCTCCTCCATATCCTCCTCCTCATCTTCCTCCTCTTCCTCCTCTCCCTCCTCCTCCTGCCCCTCCTGCTCCTCCTCTTCCTCCTCCTACCCCGACGACGACGACTCCTCCTGCATCCTCCCCTCTTGGGGCATATGGCGGCTTATCCCGCCCTTTGATATTCTGCATGCCCCCCCTCTTCCCGCATCAACTCCACTTCCCTGGGGCTCATCAATGGAGGAGCTGGTGGGGATATGCGAAGCGTTGAGAATATATCATGAAATTCGTTGCAAGCGTGTCCCCGCGCCCAAGCATACTCGACCAACTGAATATTGTATATGACTTGCTCCAAGGCCCCCCGCATCCTGACACAGGAACTCCGTCCCCGTGAAGGGTCAATGGTACGAACAATGAATTCCAACTGGGAATGCTTTTCATAGGATGCATGTGCAAAAGAGGGTGCTGCGATATTGTCATGTCCCTCCAGAACTGCTCTGCTCTCGCGGTGCTCCAACACACGCTGCTTTGAAACATGCTTGGGTATGCATCGTAAAGGGCCGAGAAAACCTCGTGCGGCCACAGGAAAGCCTGCGCTTTGGGAACTAGTTTGTCGAACTTGCCAGGGCCCACTGACATAGGTATGTCCTCGATTGTGGGCCTGCTGAACTGATGCCCTCGTAGGAGCTGCATCAAATCACGATTGCAATTGTTTGTGTGCGCGCCGTCAGATCCAATACTCGATAGTTTGTCGACCTGGCTAAGGCCAGACGTGGATTCGTCAATGCAAACTGATCCCACCAACTCGTCTGGAACGTAGAGCCAGACCTGGTCCATGACGCAGTCCATTGTATCTTTTCGTGCCTGCACCATGTCGCGGCGGGCAGCAGCTGCAAGTTTCTGGACCATTTGAGGCGAGATGGAGCCCCAGCACCATAACGATATCAGCACCTCTGCCAGGCTGCTGCGGTGCCCGTCGGCGCGCGCTGCTGCTGCCCTGGCTGCCACCAAAGCTTTCTGACGAGCGCCGCCCTTGCGCCTGCCCCTGCCTTTCATGCTATGCTGCGCGATCTCAAACAACGCAACAAAACACGGCTCGATCGAGCATATGGCTACGGACGTACGTTGCGAGATGGCATTCGGTGCCATGCTTATGTTGCATCGTCGGGGGGCCTCGCCTGCCCCCAAAATTGGTGTCTTTTTGGGGGCCCGACGCGTGCCCGATGGGATCTCGACGCGGATTTGGCGTGGATTCGAGGCGGATTCGACACGGATCCGACACGGATCCGACGCGCCCGACATGGATTCGACACGGATTCGATGCGGACAGGGCCGCGACGGGACAGTCAAGGTCCCCCGAGGATGCAACATAACCATGCGATGCCAAGCAACGCAAGTCAACACAATGCGCATAATGTGTATGGTTAGTTGCGCAATGCCACGTTGTCGATTGCATTCCAGTGTCATGCAATGCGTTGTTATGTCGATATTTTCCTTTGGGCTTGGCAGTGCCACGTTGTCGAATGCAATGCAGCGCAATTCTAAGGTTTGAATGCATCGCAATGCCATGCAATACCAGGCATTATATCATGGCAGGGGGGCATGCAATATTTTGTTGTGCAAATCCATGTTATGTCATATTCTATTCCACTCATGCCTTCACGGTGAGAACTGTTGCAAGTGAGGTTGAGAGCTGTCGTGGCCGTTGCGAGCTGCCCCCCCCCCCCCCCATCCTTGGGGCTCGCCCGACGATGCCCCACCGTCTCTGCGAGCAACCGTCGGGCTTGCGAGGCTCGGCCACGCGCGTCCCATACGAGAGCCAGGCTTTCGACAAGGAGCGTTGCGCACATCCGTTATATCCCCCCTCCCCCCTTCCAGCTGGCCATGGTTAGGCCAAGAATTTGCGCAGCGAAAATCCAGGAGGTACTGCTTCTGCTACTTCCAAGAAACATGATAAACCTGGGTGTGTTATATTTATGTGTACATCCTGCATACACAGTTACATGTTTAAGAACTCTGAATTGACCAGCACGCACGCTCCATCCCTAAAGCCACGAGCGGATTGACAGCACAAGGGCAAGCAAGAGATGCCACGCTTTTTCCTGCCTGGCTGGACGCGCCAGACGCGTCGACCGACGCTCCACCCGCGATGAAGACCAAGACGCACTCTCACTGCAATAGTTGGTATGCCCTCCCCTTCCCGATATTCGGGTAGGCCGCTAGTCTGACTCGCGCGCACGTCGCACGACCAACACATGCACACACATGATCAAGGAAGTCGGGGGTCTCAATAAAAAAAAGCGTCACATGCTACAACAATACAGTTCACACAACCACGCATGCCAGCACGTGCACGCGTGCTCGAGCACCGCTCTTGCTGGACACCCACACGCAAGACTACGTTCTCAAAGACTAACAAGAAGGACATCAACAACTATCCCCAGCGCGCCAGGTAGTAATCTTCGAAGATGCCGATCGAACCAGCATAAGTACAGCCACAGCCGTCCTGAGCTGAAGACTGCCAGAGCAACGCGACGGACAGCAAACCTGGAGAAAAACGTGATGTGCACAATGTCATGGTTGGGCAGCATAAGCCTCCTCCTCCTCCTCAGCCCCATGACCACCCCTCCCAACCTCATCCACATCTTCGTCCTCGCATCCGATTTGGGCGGCAGATGGCGAGGCGATGGGGGAGACGAGGGCAAAGACAGATGAGGAGCACATGTCATCATGCAGTCCTGGCGTAGGTATGGGCTCGCCATTGGTCCCGACGTTAGCGCGACCTGCGCTTCGACTGGCACAGGAGAGTCACGTGCGTCACCTCCTTCCAGAGGTTCCTCATGTCCCCCGTGTGCTTGTCGAACAGCTTCTTGGCCTGGCGACGGCGGCGACGACGACGACGACGACGACGGCCAAAGGAGAGCGCACCACTGACAATAACAACACACACATACGCATGCGAGCTGACCATATGCAGCGACGAGGCTGACTTTAAATAACAACAATACGCGGCGCACTTGGTGGAACGGGGGGTTGGGAACCAGGGGAGGGGGGTGGGGGGGGGGGGGGGGGGGGGGGGGGGGGGGGGGGGGGGGGGGGGGGGGGGAGGGCTGCAGTGATCATATGAAGGGCACGGGGGGCGGGACATTGGACGCTGACTCTACCGAACAACGGGAAATGAAAGGACGTGGTGTCGCCTCGTCCTGCGTGATCTTCTCGCGCTGCCTGTTCTTGCCGAACTTCGCGATGCTGCCCATCTCAATGGCGGCCTCAACTCCCATCCAATGCAGATAGAGCGTCGGGCAGCCGATAGCGAGAGGTGAGCCCCTTCCCATCCGACACTGCCTCCTTGCCATACCTCCCCACAACCGCCAACACGTGAACTCAACATCTCACGACCAATGCCCACGCTGAAGGTACCCTGCTCTCCCCGCCCACCCCGCCCCCGCCTCTTGCACAGTAATGACCAGGTCATCCCAGTTCTCAGGGAGATCTACGGCCAGAGTCTTTGCGTCCTTCTGGATCTTGGTAGCGTCGCCCACGAGGAGGCCCGCGGCGCACTCGGCCTCGTTGACGGCGTTGATAAACTCCTGGCATGCGCGACGGGGCCTATCCATCCTCCTCCTCATCCTGCTCCTCCTCGTCCTCATCCTACTCCTCCTCCTCGTCCTCCTCATGCGCCTCCTCTTCCTCATCCTCCTCCTCCTCCCCCTTCTTGTCCTCATCATGCGCCTCCTCCTCCATGTCCTCCTCCCCCTCGTCATCACCCCCCCACCGCTGCTCGTCATCGCCACCCTGGTAAAGAGCATGGCGCGCCGAGCAATCACCTCGCATGCTGGCGCAACTCAACACCAGCGCACGCATCAAACATCTCGGGAGTCGTCCGTAAGTGTTGGATCCGGCGCGATATATGACCCATCGCAATTCACCAACACACATACACAACATGCAAAACTATACAAGGGTAAGCTGGTCCTCTGAATACGGAAACTCGCCCTGATTCTGGCTCGAGCTCGAGGCGCCAGAGCGCTTGCGAGTCGCTGGAATATCCCAGACGAACATGGACACCGCGCGCTTCGCAAGCTCGACCTGTTCTTTGGTAGCCTTCTTCTGCCCGCGGATGTCAAGCTTGTGTCTGCCCCATCTCGCGCCCGATCAATCATTCGGAACGCAATGTAGGATGAGTGGAGGGCGGGGTGGAGGCGGAGGGGCAACGGACTGAGCGAGGGAACAAGGGATGGATTGGGAAAGGGGAAGGTGCAGGATGAGAAGGTGGACACCCATCGGGGAGATACCATTGCCTCGTATCTCATAGGCATTGTCGACGCGCTGCGCTTAGAGGTGTAAGTTGTATCGGTTCAAGTCTACAACATGTGTCTTTGCCAACTGTCTCTCTCATTCTCTCTCTCTCTCTCTCTCTCTCTCTCTCTCTCTCTCTCTCTCTCTCTCTCTCTCTCTCACTCCCTCTCTCTCTAACCTCGTTCCTCCACCCATCTCCCTCCCTCCCTTCATCCTCTTCCCTGCCGATCCTGCATCTCCCATTGGGCGCATCGGGCGCGCAAGGCCCGGCCCTGCCCCTCGCGCCTGGTCCCGTGCGTCTGCTCAGTCGACGCGAACGCGCTCACGCAGTGCTCGACTCCGTTCCCCATCGTTCGGTAGAACTCGCCCTTCTGCTCGGCCTCGTCGAACGTCTTGGTGCAGTTGTTGTAGTGCCGCGCGCGAAACTGCAGCGTTGGCAAGCTGACCTTGCCCTTGGTGCCCTTCCTCTCCTCGTACTTCTGGTGGAGCTCGTGGAAGTACGCCTTGTCGGTGGTCAAGCTCAAGGTCCCGTCGTCAGAGACGGTCACCGCCTCCGCGATGAACTGCTGCTCTTTTGCCCTGCCCTACCCGCTCACGCAAGGCACATGCCGCGCGCGACGTGGGGGGATCTGGACAGATGAGTACACTAACGAATTGGAGGACGCGGGCAGCGAGGAGGGGGGGGGGGAACGACACGGTGGAGCAGGAGGGGAAGGAGGAGGGGCATGAGACATGATGGCGGTAACCATTCACGCTTCCCCCTTCCCACCGTTTGTTGGGGCCCTTTCTGATCGCCTCGAGCTGCTCAAGCAACTCAGCGCCAAGGTCGTCCTTATTCAACTGGAAGAAGCGCACCTTCCTGCGCCTCGTTGCTTCGTCGTCCTTCTCCTGCCGGCGTCGGGGGGGGCGATTCCCTCTTCCCCGCCCCACCGCCGTTACCAATCTCCCAATTCTCACGCTCAGCCCCCTATACCCTCTCTAACACAATGCCACCTATTGGCCACGCCCGAATCACGGTGGCCCGAATGCGCGAGGCTGAGAGATGAGTATGTTCAACGCTGTTGTTGTTAGCGGCGCTAATTACTTGAAACGACGGCGGATCACTTCAAACCAACACCCCTTCCGTAAGCTAATTCTTCTCCCCGGGGCGACCTCAGTCCACCCTCTCCCCTCCCTCCCTCACCCCTCCTTCTCCTCCTCCTACTCGTCCTCCTCCTATCCCCCCCTCCTCCTCCTCGCCCCACCCTCCCACCACTCCTCCCACCACTCCTTCTCGCCCTCACCGCCCTCGCCCCCCTCTTCCTCATCTCCCTATCCCCCCCCTCTGCGTTCTGATGGTGATTTCGATGCTGACCCAGCCGCGGCGATTTGGAACAAGCCGAAAGACCAGAAAATACACCACGCAAAACACAAAGAAATGCAACCTACCCCCGATCGAACAGTCGAGCATCGCTCCTCGACTCCTCGACGACGACGCCCACGCCGTCGACGCCGCCGACGCCACGACGTCGGCAACGACAGCGACGACGACAACCACATCGACAACGACGGCGGCGACGACGACGACAACGCCGGCGACGACGACGACGCGACAACGACACGACGACGACAACGACGACGACGGCGACGGCAACGAGGCGACGACGACGAAGCGACGACGACGACGACTACGATGCGACGGCGACGACGGCGACGACACGACTACAACGACTGAGCGACGACGACGACGCCGCCGACGGCGACGGCGACGAGGCGACGACGACGACGACGCAACGACGAGGACGCGACGACGACGATGATGACGGCGACGACTAACCAGCCTCGAACTGTTCCCTACCCCGAAGATCGGCAAGCCCAAGGCGACGATAAGGCGATGAAGCGATGACAATCTTAGGGATGTGCCTTTACAAATTTACAAACTCATGGGATCCCTGGGATCCCTAAAATTGGCGCCGAAACATAAAGACGCCAATCATAGGGGTATGGGGTCTGTTCCAGGCTGGCGACGATGCGACGACGACGACGGCGACGACGACGACGACGCCGTCGCTGCCGTCGCTGCCGCCGCCGCCGTGGCGGCTCGCGCGCTCGCGCGCGGCGGCTGTGCGGCGATGTCCGCCCGCCGCGATGCGGCGGGGCGGCGGGGCGGCCGCTCTGCGCTGGCGCGGGACGCGCCCGCGGGGCAGTGGCGCGGCCGCCCGGCCGCCAGGCCGCCAGGCCGCTAGCGCGGGGCCGCCGCGGGGCCCCCCCTGGCCCGCCTACCCTCCCCCCACCCGCCACCCCTGCCCACCCCCGCCTCGCCCTCGGGCTCGGGGATTGGAGGGGGGGGAGCCACTGGGAAGTCTAAGAGAGGAGGAGAGGAGAGGGGGGGCGGAAGAGAGGAACTGAGGAAAAGGGGTGGAGGGGGCGGCGGGAAGGGAGGGGCGCAAGGGGGGAAGGGAGGCAGGCTGAGGAAGGGAGGAAGGGGCGGCGGGAAGGGCTGCGATAATGCGAGATCAAGGGGGGAAGGGGGGAAGGAGGGGGCGGGGAAGGAAGCGCGCGACACGCGCCAACAGCAATGGAAACTGGAAGCGCGGCGACCCCCGATGGACGGCGACGGCGGCGATGACGCGATGACAAGATCGATGCGACGACGATGATGATGATCAGCATGGCGACGATGGCGATAATGACGATGATGTCGGCATGACGGCAACGATGATGATGATGACGATGACGATGATGATGATGATGATGATGATGATGATGACGATGATCACACTTCGCAGCGCGATGGCGCGTGCGAACACCAAGCGGCCTGCATTGTGCAGGCGATTCCGAGCCCGACGGGTGCGGGTGGGTTTCTACGGTTCTACGGGGATGCGATGCGATGGCCCGGTGGGCCCCCGGTGGGCCCCTGGGCCCCTGGGCTCCTGGGGCCCAAAAGATGGGGGAGGCCAAAAAACAAAAAAAACGTGCAGGCAGAAGGAGGCACCTTAGGCACCTTGCGCCCCGCTGCCCCACTGCCAAACTGCCCTCATGCACTCATGCAATGCCCCCCCCTTTCCCTCCCCCTCTCTCTCTCTCTCTCTCTCTCTCTCTCT